TAAGATAGATAGATAGATAGATAGATAGATTAGAAATATTAGATAGATGAGTTTGAATGAGTTTAAATTAATTAGAAATAGTACACAGAAGGAACGCTTGATTGAGTCTAACGGGCTTCAGTGTGTTTAGATTTGAATTTTGACAGTTGGAGTTTGAATAGTCTTGGCTCATCTGAACATTCCGTCAATGTAAGTCTATGGGATTTTTATGATTTTTAATCGTCATTTTTATGAAAACTATATGTCGGATCAGTCTGAAAAGATATAGCACACTAAGACAGATCAGTCTAAAGAGCTGGGCTGAGTTTGGTGGTTCTAGCTTGAAAGCTCTAGGAGGAGTAGCGTTTAGAAATTTAGTCTAAAAAGAAAAATAATAAAAAGCTTAAGTAGCAGATCAGTAGGTTGGCTTTCTCAAGCTAATCATGTAATGTATACAAAAACAACTGCAATCTTATTCTGAGCATTTTAAAATGCAATGTAATCAAATTACAAGTACTTAATTTTTGGAATCCGATTACATGTAAAGAGTTACTACCCAGCACTGCACATATGCTGCGTTCAAGTCCTCCTGGGACGTTCGTACTCACAAGTTGACAAGTCGTAATTACGACGTCAGGTGCATTCAAGTCAGATTAGTCGGCACAAGATGGCGTTGTACCTTCTTTTAATAAATTACAAGAAAATACAACAGGGTCTGTTAACTCTGCTTATAGAAAATAATTTCAGCTATAGGTGCAAAAATGATAGCATTTTTTTACTTGGATTTCATTAACTAGCTGCGTAACAAGAACATGACCAATTTAAGTTTATAGGACAACTAAACTATCAATTTAAACAAAAATTAATCGTCAACTACCGACGTTGCATCCATCGATTCCGCCATGTTTATCATTGACACGCCCCCAACTCGGAAACTCGGGGCTTAATGAAAATTTCGAGTTTCCCACTCGTAATAACGACTTTGTGGTGGCGTTCATGTGCTCGTAAATACGATCTATCCGACATGACTTCAACGCACCAATAGTACTGGTTGTTAGTAAGACTGTAGCAGCAGAGGAATAAACAGAGTGAAAGTTCAGACGCAGGTGTTCAAGGGTAAAGTTCACCGTGTACAATGTGCAAAGCTCCTTAAGAGAGAAGACTCCACAATGGTGCTTACGCGACTGAAGATAGCTCTGTGATAGCTGATCTCATGGAGAGATTTGCTGCTCTTATCTTTTATCTTCAACTCTGTGCTTTGATTAAAATCTGCTTGATTAACTGTGATGCATTCCTCTATTAGTTCTCAAAGGAAATCAGTTCCTCCAAACTTTCTGAGTATTAAATGATTTGTCCCACTGCTAGAATCTGCTGGAAAGCATTTCTTGGCTCCGTGTCCGTATTGACTTCTCTCTTGGCTGGACTTCCATCCTTTTCTGTTTCCTGGAATGGCCATCAGGGGGACGGACATGGACAACAATGATCCTGCTTTGGGATCTTCTTCAGCCCTTGTTAGTTTTGTGTGATGTATTGGAGCTGTCAGGTGTGATGTCTGGGGTTAGTGCTCGTCTGTAAATCTCGTCTGCACATGTTCGTCTGCATCACGCTGGATAAAAAGAGGCAAAGGAAATATTTCATTACAAGCTCCATAAAACATGCTCTGTGCATGAGTAACAGCAGTATGCATTAAAAACGCTCTGAGTTTGATGCATGATTTATTTATTTTTAATAAAATGTTTTATTACATTTAAACTTTTATGAGAGAATTCTGTTATTTTACCATGCAACAGGGCCTGACAGTGATGCACTGAAACCTCCAGCACAGATTAATAAAGCTGAGTGTGTTTGTGCTCAAATCATGTGTGTGTTGAGGAGAGTGTGCTGATGCTTTACTATGTGATCAGCCCAGTGTTGGGCTAGTTACTCAAACAATGTAATTTATTACTCATTACTAGTTACTCCTTTCAAAAGTAATATTGTTACGTTACTTATTACTTTCTGGCAACAGTAATTAGTTACCAGTGTTGGGGGGAATGCATTACAAGTAACGTGATCAGATTACTTTTTTTTAAGTAACTAGTAAAATAACGCATTACTTTTTAATTTAGAGGGAAATATCAGAGTTACTTTTTCAAATAAGTAACGCCAGTTACTTTGTTTCCATGTGTTGAGTGACAGCTCTGGTGTTGCCATGGAGACAGAAATCAGGAGTAAGAGCAGAGCGTTGTGTGTGAACATGATGTTACTGTAGTTCTAGACTCAATATCAACATGTGTTTACTCATCTCACTGCACACAAACACATTCAGTGTTCCTCACAATCAATAAAAACAGTCAAATGCAAACTCAGAATATTATACAAACCTGCAATAATTATGTTAAATAA